CGAAGGGGGGGGGGGGGGGGGGGGGGGGGGGTTAAGGCGGGAGGAATATGTCAATATCACCTGTCGGAGATCTGTCGCATAGCAATTTCAATATGTTGCACTTCGCAATATTCTGCATAGACACTATAGCCATTAAATTGCATGAACATTTAGAAAAAAACTTTACTTGGAAATTCTGATCGACACGCGCGACAGAAACTTATCTCGCTCATCGACAGGCCTTCATTTTCGTCACATTGTATGCGTTACGAGGCATGACACGCGAAATTAAAGATTTCCGACGTGTGGTATTTTCACGTGACATTTTATTCTCCCGCTGAAACATCGATTTGTCGCTTTTTCTGGAGAACGAAACGAGAGATGTAGTCGACTGTGCGCCATCGTAGGCGAAAGGTTTTGAGTATTCTTCTAAAAAATTATTATAACATATCATTACGGATTATGAAGTCCGTTTGGAATTATTATTACAGTGTGACGAAGAGAATGCTATTATTGGCTGGTCAGTGGCCTTATCAGAGAAGAAAGGAGAGATTGCTTCGAGTGACTCTGATGACTATGACTTCGCTTTCTATGATAATTCCACAGGTTATTATTCTTTATATCTAATAAGAAAAAAATTAAATTTAAAAGAATTGTTTATTTTAAATACGTGATGGTAACGATTTTTATAATCTCTACCAGAAACGATGCTTTCAGATTGGCAAGTTTATTCAGTGCGGCAGAGATGTGCAATGTATTTTAACGACTATACCATCGTATCTATTTCAAATTGTGGTTATAGTGAAACTATATGCATGCCAATTTAACAATAGCAAAGTAAAAATATAAAAATTTATATTACATGTTGATCAAAAAATGCTTTTTGAAATTTTTAATATCGTTCATCACAGTTTTTCACAAAATTAATAACTTGATAAAATTTATGCAAGATATTTTTCTAGATTAAAGATCTCACTGATCAGGTGTATAGCGATTGGGAAAGCTTGGAAATCCCGGAAGAATACGAAATTATGAAAACTTATGCTGCAAAAGCGAGACTGTTTTCTTTGATATATACGTGTAAGAATAAACCGTTCGATTCTCATTTTATGTATAACGAGAGATGGACGATTTATTTCGTATGTTGCAGCATATTATGCCATAGCTGCTCCTCTATTTATATTATTGATTCCCATCACACCGCAAATATTAGATATCGTTTTACCGCTCAACGAATCTCGCTCTATATTAATGCCTTATGAAGCACATTATTTCGTCCACGATGACAGAGAATACTTCTATTACATTTTATTTCACGCTCTTGTAGCTGTACTAATAGTTATAACGGGTGTACTCGCGCACGACTGTATGGTCTTGACTTATATCGAGCATGTCTGCAGCATCTTCGCTGTAGCTGGGTAAGTTTACTAGTATTTTTTATGTTCTTTTTATATAAGAAATTTAGGCAAAATATTTAGGAATGTCTGAGTGGTTGCAGATTTCGTTTCGAAAACTTGGCATATAATAAAGATACAGACTTGATAAATGATAATCTAATTAACATGTACAATCAAAAGATAGCTATCTCTGTGCATGCACACTGGCAAGCCTTACAGTAAGTATATAAAGGATACTCTGTATCTCTGAAAGATGAATAAATTAATAAATGCTCATTAAGTGTAAGAAGATTTTCAGTACAAAGTGTTTTCATAATATTTGTAGATTCGCAAAACTTCTGAAAGATACTTTCTCCATAACTTTCGGCATACAAATTGCGATAGTTACCGTAGCGATGAGTATTAGTTTACTGCAAGTACGTGCTTATTTATGTAATAAGAATATTGTAATTCAACGTGCGATGTATGTGCATTTAGAGAATAGAGTAACTATTCACGTTTTTAATTAACGAAAGTTTGAATGATTAACATATATATTTACCGCGTTCGAGATGGTAGTACAAGATGATACTCTGGAAACGATGAGGTATATGGCATTTATCATTGGTCAATTGATTCATATATTTTGCTTCAGTCTGCAAGGCCAAAGATTGATAGACCACAGTTTAAAAGTACGCGATAAGATGTAAGATGACCCCAATTCTAACATCTATAAATCTGCGATCGGTTCACGGCCAAATTTAAAAAATTGGTCATTGAAATGCATATCTCGTTACAATATTGCAGATACAATTGCTTCTGGTACAATATACCCGTGAAATCGCAAAGATTGCTTCTAAATGTGATGAGAAGGAGCTTGCAACCGAATATTTTAACCGCCGGTGGAATTTATATTTTTTCCTTAAAAAGTTTCACTACGGTAAAGAATAGGTTTTCACAAATATTATAATTTTTATAACATGTGTATCATATAATTTCGTTTCTTTAAAAAGTTCTTTCAAAAACATTTGCTCTTATTTTAAAGGTCCTACAATCTTCGATGTCATATTTTACCGTACTCGCGTCTTTCCAGTGATCAATGATCAATATATTCAAATAGTATTTATGTACACGCTTGATAATATTATGTGACAATAGATTATTGCATTTAAAATAACTGTGTATACGTACCTTTAAATCTCATTTAAAAGATTATCTTGTTATGCGCACTGTCGAAAATATTGCACATAATTTTTAGTTTTACAAGTTTTACAAGTGAAGCTAAACAAATGTTTGCGAATAAAAAAATAAATGCAAAGCTGGCAAATGGGAAACAACAGTAACAAAGGTAATATTTTTCTTGAAACACTGGTATAATTATTATATCTTTGATTTATCATCAGGTAAGTTATTATCGTGTATTGACAAAGTTTAGTAATGGACTAGGTTTTATTTGCATCTAGAAGATATATAATACATAGTAATATCATTAGAACGCGAGTTCAAGATGTGGAAACAAATAAAATGAAATCTGATAAAAAACTCGAAAGAAAATTAACCAAAAATATTCACTATCAATATGGACGAGTATGTGTGATATATTAAATCGCGAAACGGTAATATTACACTAATCAGTGAATTTTCGATACTATCGTTAATGGACTAAAAATGTCAAAGTTAATTAGAATAAAAGAATAAATCTTAAGGCGTTTGATAGCTTACTCGCTTATATAAATACAATTTTTTTTTTTTTCGTACAGAGCGAAATTTATGTCGTGAAAATATATATGTATATAATTTTCTTCAAAAATGTTATGCTAACAAAAAAAAGAGTTATGTTACAGTATCAATGCATACTACTATGTATATCACTGTTAGGATATCCCGTAAGAATTTTAGAACCGCCAATACTTTTTATGAACGAGAAGAAAGGCTGGATAACATAGAATCAACGATCTCTCTTGGTTGTCTCGTAACGGATTAAACTCGAAACTGGTAAGTCTTAGGATTTAATGGGATATGTTACGTGGATATATGCGCACGTGTATACACAAAATTACGTGACACGCAAGACGCAATGTTTCTTAACGCACCCCAACAGCTCGTATCTTCATTGCACATTTAACAATACATTAAATTACGTTGATCAGGAAAGGAATTTGTTTGTTTCTACACCATTCGATGGAGATATAGATAAAATATTAAAATAAAATTTTCATTTTCAGGCTTCAATCTTCTTCTATCTTCGGAAAAGGAAAAAAGGCCTTAAATTAAATATGCACTGAAGATATGAAGCGAAGAAAAGGAGGGCGATCTTCGATCTTTGTTCCACTAGCTCCTTTCGAAGGTAAAAAAACGACATTCTACCACACTCGAATCATATTATCGGATACACTTCGGCGTCTGTATAATGCCCTTGTCACACACATTACATCTCTCTTTATATATTTCTCTAGAATTATTGTAGTAATAGTATTGTCTGATTCTCGACTGCGTTCGTTTTTTGTTATTCTAGTTCTTATAAGATAGGCGTAATCGCGGGTAATGGTGAAGTGACGTTAAAGAAGATCGTACTTGGTTGCAAGTTGGATAATGGCCGTTAACGGCGATCTGTTTTTCATCTCGCGAGAAAATTGGTAATTCCTTCGTCGTTCGATGATTTGCACGTTTATAGTTGTTCGTAGTATGTATATGTATATACATATTTTTGTTACGTGTCTGCGTGCGCGTGATAATGTTGCGTCCGATATTCACTAATTATTCGTGTGGTACATGGGTATCTTTATATTTATATATTATATATTATCATGCGGTACACAGTATATATGATATCTCTGTATGCGCATATATATAT